GCCAACGCCAGATCCATGAGCATGTGCACGACCAGCTGCTTCATGCTTGCCTGGGAGTGCCGACGTAGACCCCTCGGCGGGATTGGCTCTTGGAGTTCGCACTTTGAAGGGCTTCTACACCCGGGGAGCTCTCCCCGTGACTCGCTTTCCTGGGATTCTGTGCTACGATAGCGGCACCATTTCAGAAAGGCTAGGGGCCAAGGCTTCAACCCTAAACCCCTTGCCTGCCTCCGAGAGTGAGAGTCGAAACAGATAGACCATCTCGGCGAGATGAAGACCCAATGCAAAACTAGTAGGTTGTTTCTTTATCGGGGTCATTGTTGGTGTTCTTGTACTCGCTGTTGTCTCACTTCTCAGCGGACCTGGAACCACATGCCTCGCCTGGATTGTCCGAGTGTGAGCACCGAAACCCTAAACTACTGGATGTTTTTCGAGGCTGGGGTTCTTGTCAGCACAAGACCCCAAACGCTAAACCATAATCCCTATCCCGTAGCATCGAAATAGCCCACAGCCTTGTATAATAGGATCTTTGGACCCAAAAGCCTTAAGATATGAGTCCTTTGAGGCTAAGGGTATAGATCCTAAACTCGAGATCCGCAGGCTTGCGCTGCAAGTTTGATGTACTGCAGAAGCCTGAATACTCAGCAATGCTATTCCTTTCACTTAGACTAGAGCATTATAACGGTACCGCAATGGCTACTGCAACGTTACAATATGTCGTACCCATTCTACTCTGTGAAAGATTCGGGCCCCGATGTTCTTGGGGTTGACGGCTTCAGGGGGTGACGCTTGATTCGGGGCCTTGTGCCGTACAGACTGCGGAAAACAACCCAAAATCAGTTAAAAGGCCGCGGCCCCAACGAGAAAGCAGAATCCACATCAGAAGCCAGGACCCAAACGGGCCACCTCCACCAGCTTTGGGCCGTTCTCGCCCTCCACGCAGAGCAGAAACGACGTAGCTTTCAGAGTTTAGGGCAGTGCCGGCAACGAGCTGCTTGTGTAACCTCACCCCACAGAAAGCGTTTTGCGCAATACTATCTAGCCCCTGCAACTCGGAATTCAATCTCTCCTGGAACCAGTCGAAACCCTCATGTAGCCCTATCTGCCATGGGCTTGGTTGTTGAGGATTCGGGCTTGGGGGTGCAGGGGCCCGATTTTGGGGGCTCAGGGCTTGCACCAAAAGTGAAAAAGGATTTTGGAGCTCGAAGGAATTCCTCAAGCCTATCGCCGAGGCCAGGGAAGCAAGGTCGACGAGTCCTCAGCGAAGCAAGCCCAGAGACTCCAAAACCCCTTAATTAAGGAATGTACTTTAAATCATATTAGGGATCCTATTATAATTTAAGGTATATTCCTTAATTCAGGGGTTTTGGAGTCTCTGGGAGCATCATGGATCCGGCTAAGGTTCAGGTGTTCAGGCGGAGGGTCTCACCTCTTGAGGCTCGTTCAGGCTTCGTCGGTGTAGATCTTGAGCCTGCCGGTGGCAGACTGCCGCCGTATATATGTATTACATATTAAATTTCATGTTATATATTATATATAGAGTATTTATCATGGTGCACATCTGGCCCATACCAAGCTTCGGGCGGTAGTGACAGGTCTTCATACCAGGCTGCAGGAGTGCCACAGCGATAAACGCCCGCCTAGCTGGCCTAGCTCCTCGCGTCACCACTTTGTACTAGCTGAGGCCGGAAAAAATCGAAGAAGGGGCCCAGGAAGGTCTGTGAGAGGGCGGGTCGGTTTGGGGACTTTGGGGACGGATGCTCGGGGGGAGGGGAGGGGGAAAGGTTTCAGGTTCTCCTTCTCATGCTAAGGCTGAGACCTAAACATTCTTCACCAAGCATTTTACCCACCCCGGCTCCCCTCGCACTATGTTGGCTAAACCCTAAACCCTAAACCCTAGGCCCTAAACCCTAGGAATGGCAGTATGAGGCGGGCCGCTGCAACCTGCCGTCCTACGTTCCTGTTGCTTTTTGCAGCCTGCAGTTGAGCCTCCTGCAGTACACAGAATTTCTGGCACACCATTGCCCTCTAAATTACAACTCCTCCTACTCCAAATGCCAGTAACTTGCTTAAGACAGCAGCAGTATTATTACTCCAGCCTGTAGTGGCCAGCAATACGACGGGTCCTGATTCCTACTCTTTCCGACGGTAGTAGCACCCGTACTACTGACAGTGCTGGGCCACAGAAGAAATATATAATAGAGCCGTGGCTGTCCACTAATGATTTTCCTGCAGTTCGAAAGCGCAATATACCCCGTCGAGCAGTAGTTAATATGAGGGTTAGTTTTAGGGGGAGTGGCTATACATGCCCAAGCCTGACAGCTCGGACAACTCGTTCTAGAGAAACCTCGTGGTAGATGCAGCCGTTTTTAAGGTTCTAACCCCGCTTCCGCTGTCCTGAGGTCTTCAGGGTCCCACTCACTCGGCTGCAGAGATCCTTAAACCCTAAACCCCAAACCCTCAGCTCATTGGAAGGTTGCTCCCGCGACCTGTGGGATTTGCGGCAGGTGGGCCCGCTGCTGCACTGGTGAGCTTTGCAAGCTATATGCAGCCGGAGCTCAGGGTTAAAGCACATATTTAGGCTCTTTACCACATTCAACCTAAGGACTTCCTGCAGAAGGCTCCCCAATGTTGAAGCGTTTGGGTACACACGGTTTCCACTTGGCTACTTCGTGGCAAAGCCTAAACCCCAGGGCCCCGCCCTGGAAAGAACCCCAGTTTCTTGATCCACGGGCAATGTGACATCCGCAGGACGCAGGTGCAAAATCCTAAGCTTTCGACCCTGAGTTGGAACCTTGAGGATTTCATGTTCTGAACGCGGGTGTTCAGATACAGCCGGAGTACTTGGGTAGGAACCCGGATGGCTCGACCGGCATGGTCCAGTGCAAGTGCTATCAACTGCCATGTTTCAGAAGGTTCTTGACCAGCAGAGTCAGTACGATCTTTGTAATTTAAGGTTTAACCCTAAACCTTAAACCCTAAGCCCGGACACTGGTTGTCATGCCTGCGTTTGCGGTGTGCTCAGCCCTTAAACCATTAAACCCTAAACCCTAAGTCCTGCCTGACAACACTTGACACGGTCATGTACTGTTGTTTGTATCGCCTTGCCTTTGTCATGGATCAGTATCGCTACAGACCTTGCCAGACTTGTCCGAGTGTGAGTGTCAAAAAACACTAAACCTATTAGTTCTTGCGGTAAACCCTAAACCCTAAACCCTAAACCCTCAACCCTAAACCCAAAACCCTGCAAGGGTTCCCCACAGCGCCATCTCACAACCGCGGCTCGCAGCCTCTCCGAAATTATTATCGAAGATGGCTATGGCTTAGCAGGGGCCTTAATAGTTAGAATAGGGTTCCTTTAAAAGGGATCCTGATCCTGAAAGGGTTCTATAAGGGATCTATGATGGGCTTCTATGATAGGGGGCCTTTATGGTTAGAATAGGGTTTTGGGGCCCATTATACTATAATTATCATAAGGAACCCCAGAAATAGTGTTGGTAAGCAAAAAGCCCCTACATTGCCAAGAGGGATGGAGTTTTGTGTTGAAGAGCTCTAGGTCTCTGACAAACCCGCTTTCAGGGTAGCAAACACTGGCTCCCATGGAGTCTGAAACCCTGGATCTTCCCGTCGCCGACGAACATGTGAGGATCATCGGTGCAAGTCAGGACCTTTTGACGGACACGAGATCGGAAGGATCAATTCAAGTTGAGGCATCTCCGGGGGTTCGACACACGGACGTGAACGAGCGAGTTACAGAATACATTGCGAACTTCCGTGCCACAAGAAAGGAAATCATCCGAGCCACACCGTGCTACGAAGCTCTAGATGGTGGCGGCAGGGTGTTTCGGTTCCCGAAAGCTGCATCTTACCATAAGAGCTTCCCAACAGACACGATTCAAGAGTTTCGGTCTCACTCCTGGCATGGAAGCAGACGGCGGAAGATTGCCACAATGATGGTGCAGAACAATGGCCTGGCCGCAATATCTTTGGGATCGTTGGTCTCTTATTCTCTTGCCGGTCTTTTTGTCGGGGGCTTTCTGCCTGGCTACGAAAGCGCGGCCTTTGGAAGGCCCCTCCTACTTGCTCTGCATTTGGGGACTGGTAGGTGGTACTCTCACCGCACTAGTGACCATATTCGCCTGGCGTCGTCGTACCCTGGTCTTCGTCGATTCGCTTTGCATCAACCAAACAGATTCCAATTTGAAGGTTGAGGCCCTCATCAGCATTGGCGCTTTCCTGCGGAGCTCTGAATCCTTATAGGTCTGGTGGGATGAAACGTTTGTTCACAGGCTCTGGTGCGTGTTTGAGGCAGGGTCACTCCAAGCGCGATTGAAGCTTTCAATGTTGAGTCATCGACAGCCTTCGAACCTTTAAACCTGGATGATGCGTCGACTGAATAAGACAATGTGTGTTTCAAGCATGGGGTGTGTTTGAAGCAGGGGCTTTGTGTAGGCTTGTTTCCTTTTTGACTTTGCATCGCGGTTGGCTTGCTTGCGGTGAGCTTCCAAAAAATGGGACTAACAGATGACCTCAGTGGCAAGTGGAGTGAGGCCTCATCAGTCCCAAGCGCATGGTTCAAACATGTCCAACGAGAGCCGTCTCGTTTCAGCATTTCAGTGCTAAATCTTCTGGGGTGTAAGCCTTCTTTCTTGGGGTTTCGATATTTGCCCACAGAATCTAGGCCATTTTCAGGTGGGTAGTTACCGCCCTACATACCCAAAACTCCCCACCTGTAGTTTCCTTTAACAGAACCGGGCTGCGAGGTGGGAGCCTATCTCAGCAGCTGCAAACTCTCGGATGCCGGGCGCACCAAAAGATTGGTCATTCGGCCGACTGTGTTTGGGACGAACTCCGCAACTGCATTTCTTGGTACATTTCTGCTTTCACTTGGCTTTGTGGCCAGTTTTCTGCTTGGTTGGGTCATTGTCACTGTCCTTGGCATCATTTCTTGTCACTTGGCTGTCCGTTCGTTGCGGAGCTACTTCGCAGCTGTGGAGAACATGCTCGTCCAGCTGCGCACGTTTCGCATCCAAGAGGCCCGGTGCGAATGCTGCACCAAGGGTCACCCAGCGGAGAACACCGTCCCTTGCGACCGTAAAGTCATCACCCTTTGCATTCGCAAATGGTTTGGTTCTGAGTCTGCCTTTGAGAGGTTGGTCGCTACTGATGTGTCCATCGCTTTGGCCAGCGGTCTCGGCGATGGATCATTCTCCTACTTGTGGCTCTTGATGATATCCGCTCCCTTTCATTGGTCGCAGGTGGACCAGCTGGCTACACGTCTGCATGCACAGGACATGGAGGCTGCAGCTGTAACAACCGTCATCAACTTGACCTACTACTTCCTGACCTTCCCTTTAGTCGGACGCCTTGGGATAATCCTGGCATGCAAGGCTCGGCGCCAACGTCAGCAACTTTGGGCAAATGAGCTGTTGACATGTGCAGTGTACCTTTCCGTTTTTCCAGTGGTCACGGCCCTTTTTGCCATGCTCCATAGCTGCAAGACGGACATGACAGGATTTTCGAGAGGCTTGGTAGTAGAACAGACTCATGAAGGCTTAATCCTTTTAAGCCCTAAGCCATTCAGGCAGACCGTGCTAATGCAAGTCACGGGCCAGCTCGCCGGTGCCGTCATCTCTGCCGCGATCAACTTGATCCTGCTTCTGATTCTTTTCCAATGCTCGCAGGTGTCACTTCTCTCGCATGAGGGGAGATATACTTCCGGCCCGTAGGGTAGTCGGGTAGTCGTACGGTTCTTTTCTTCGGCCCAACGCGGGTGCCCACTCCCCCTGTTTAGAAGCGTTTTCAACTCCCCTTGCGCAGGGCAAAGCCAAGCGCTCGGACCTTCGAACTGATTCCCGAATGCGGATAGACAGAAAGATAGACATCGGTAGACAAATAGGTCAATATGACTGTAGGCCAATAGATAGATGGACAGATGGGTAGAAAGACTAGGTGCATAGACGTAGATTGCTAGACAGATTGGCTGATTGAAGGATCGATTGACAGAGTCACTACAGAAGTCTCTGCAGAAGCCCTGAGGGAGCGTGGTATCTTACTGATGATGGGAAGGTTCCGGAACCGGCAAGTGAAGCTGACATGAGGGATGCTTTAGGCAACTCCTACTTGTTGATGCTGCACAGAAGTCGGAGCTGTGTTATGTAGAACAGGGCAATTTTGTGTACAGCCGAAGATCGTCCATTGCAGGATGTACGCATCGGATGGGCGGTAGTTTGCTTAGTGCTACGGCACGGAACTCAGGGTATGATGAGTGTGAGGCTCGTCATAGCGCCTTGAAGGCGCCGCGACAAGTGCCCAACAACCCCCGCTAGGCGTCTCGGATAGTAGTGCGCTGCGGCGAAAGTCGAAAAGTCGATTGACAGAGTTGGTTTGTTGATTGATTGGTTGGTTGACTTCGTTCATTCATTCGTTCATTCGGTTCTTCATTCATGTCTTAGTTCGTGTATTCATGCATTAATTGCTGATTTCCTTCATTCATTCCTTCATTCATTCCTTCATCCATTCATTAGCTCATTCGTTCCTTGGTTTCTTCGCTCATTAATTCATTCATTATTTATTTCATTCTTTGGTTCATTCGTTCATTCACTCATTGACTCATTGACTCATTCACTCATGCATTCATTCGTTCATTCGTTCATTCATTCATTCATTCATTCATTCATTTACTATTTCATTCATTCTTTCACTAATTCATTCATGAATTCACTAAGTTGTTCATTCATTCCTCCGTTCCTGCCTCCATTCATTAACTCCTTCGTGCCTTCGAGCATTCATTCATCCGTTCGTTCGTTCACTCAGCGATTAACCGGCATACATACAAATGCATGTTCACACTTTATGAGGCTATGGGTTCAGATATACATACGCATATACACACATATATGAATTTATACAACTATAATGTATATGTATATATATATATATACATATATATATATATATAATATATATAAATACATATATATATATATATATGTATATGTACGTGTGCCTTGCGTCGCGGCTGACAGGTGACTGAGTCCGTGTGAGAGAGAGATATGTATATGTACATGCAGATACCTACCTCGAAATTGATTTCTGAGATTATCGGACTTTGTGGGCTGTACTGGTAGGCCGCCGGCTGCTACAGCGCCGCAGCTGCCACCAACCTGGCTCGGCCCTGAAACTAATTAAGTTGCGCTGATGTTTGTCTTAGGCAACCAGGGTTTAGGGTTCATAGGGGATTATAGGGTTTAGGCAACCATACCAGGGTTTAGGGTTTATAGGGAGTTAAACGGTTCATGGATACAAAGATAGTGGGGTAGATAGGCTTTCCCTTAATATGACTACCTTCAATGAAGCTCTGAAGAGACTAGGAGGGGTTGGCCAGGTGGTCAAGGGTAGGTCCCGGGAATCGGGAAGTTCGTTCAGGGCCGCACGTTCATCGAAGGGTCGTTTAACACCGAAGGAGATCTGCATTGCAGTTGGGTAGTTCTCTAAATTAGGGTCCCCAATAGAGTACGGCACCCTTATAATATGGACCCTACAAGGGACCCTAATTTAGAAAACTACCCAGTTGCTTCAGGGGGCTTGCACAGGGCTGCTGAGGCTGGTCGGTTTGCATATTTGGTTTGGGGGCGCCTTTTGCTGTTGATGATGTCCGCTTCGCCGGGTGATGGTCATGATGCCACGACGAGTCACGCAGAGAATGGTCGTTAATGCCCTGGCTGCTTTAACGAAGACGACCGGCATGGGTTGAAGATGATGGTGATGCGATTGAAAAGTCATATCCTCCATAATAAGTGCATTGGCTCATTGTAATCTTTATGGCTTTATGCCTAGGTAGTAGCAATCCATCCATTCTTCCTCTCGTCTTACTTTTCTTGACTACTAGCAGACCGACGGTGTGCATGTGTGATGGAAGCCGGCCGAAGAAATCCGAGGACCAAAATCTACGCAGAGCCCAGCGATCCTCTGCGATGGAAAGTTCCGAGGCACATGGGGGGTTTCTGAAAATAGGGGACCCTAATATAGGACCCTAAATAGTAGGATCCCTATTATAAGGACCCCAAAATAAGGTACCCCTAATTTTCGGAAGCTCCCACATAGGTCTAGGGTTTAGGGTTCCAGCTTAGGGATCAGGTTTTGGTCGTTTCCAAAAATACAAATACGGCATCAGTCTACACCTCCAGACTCCAGTTGAACCCACAGGCATAAGGCAAATAACGATTTTTGAAAACCCATGTGGGCCTCAATCCCCAAGCTGCCAAACTATACATACTTAAACTTCCAGGCCCAGGCCTCTCCCACGAGCACCGGGTTCTTGCACATAGTGTGAGGGTTTTCGTTAGTAGAGCTTCGAAGACGAAGAGATTTCGAAGCAGAAAGTGCAGATGATGCGGGCGTCTGTGCCGCTCGCTGCTACTTCTTCTACGATCATCAGCTGGTACATAGACGCGTAGAAGCAGTGGCACAAGAAGAATGAAGACGTGTAGCAGCTGTTGTCGTCGTCGTCGGCCTAGCCGCAATAGCCAACGCCGTCGTAGTAGTACTATTACTATTACGTCTGCGACGTAGCGGTAGTGGTACTGCTACAGGTACTGGCACCGGCAGTGGCAGAGCAGTGGCAGTGGTACTACTGGTGGCAGTAGCAGTAGTAGTAGTAGTAGTAGTAGTAGTTGTAGTAGTAGTAGTAGTAGTAGTAGCATCAGCAGCAGCAGGAGTAGTAGTAGTAGTAGTAGTAGTAGAAGTAGTAGTAGTAGTAGTAGCAGTAGTAGTAGTAGTAGTAGTAGTAGTAGTAGTCGTAGTGGCAGTAGCAGTGGCAGTGGCAGCGGCAGTAGCAGTAGCAGTAGCAGTAGCAGTAGCAGTAGCAGTAGCAGTAGCAGTAGCAGTAGTAGTAGTAGTAGTAGTAGTAGTCGTAGTAGTAGTATTGGTGGTGTAGTTCGTTGTTGTTGCGGCGTAGTAGCGGTAGTTGCAGTCGCCGTCGTAGTTGTTGCTTATTGTTATGATTCCGAATATTATGACTCTATCTCTTCTTCTTCTCCTAATACATCCCATTGCTATTATTAGTAGTCTTGGTAGTGGCAGCAGTGGCAGAAGCAGCAGCAGCAGCAGTAGTACGACTACGATTACGACGACGACTACTATTGCTGCTACTTTGCGACGGTTCCTGCTTCGACGACGACAGCTACAGCAACAACAACAACTACTACTACCACCACCACCACCACCACCACCACTACCACCACCACCACCACCACCACCACCACCACCACCACTACGGCGACGACGACTGCTGCTACTAGTGTTAGTATTAGTACCAGCACCAACAGCAGCAGCAGCAGTAGCAGTAGGCATAGGGGTAGATGTATGTGCAGTCGCGGTCCCGCCTCGTGTAGCCTTGCATCAGAGACCCGTAAGATTTGCAATGCCCCAACTTCCCAGGCAGAAACTGTTCAGCTCCACCTGACCCGCCGGGAGTCCAATCCCCACAGCCGCCTAAGCCAACACAAGAATCACGTGAAGATAGAACCAGGGCGGGAGGATCCATGAAGAGCGAAGGCAATGACGAGAAGACCAATACGAAAGCAGTCACAGTCACTGATACTAGCAAACCCCACTGCAAACCTTCAACCCTCAACCGCAAATGTCTTGGATGGTGGGTATTGATCATCCTGCGGTGCACAATCCTCAGGCACGAGGCAAGCAACAAACTGTAGAGTTATCGTAGCAGGACATTGAAAAGACGATAAGCCATGAGGCAATGAAAGCTAGCAGTAATATCCCCTTGTAGCCTTATGTACTTACCTTACATTTAATCCCAGGCTCTTTTAGAAATAACTAGGACCCCTGAGCTGAACCCTAAACCTAAAACCCTTCTAGTATAGAACTTCAAATATACCCTTAATGGTATAAACCTTTTCGGTACCCTCGTAGTACTTGTTACAGGAGATTGCAGCCGCGACAGAGACCTGGACACAAAATGCCTGGTGCATGCTGTTCGCCTGGATTTTCACACGTTGGTGTCTGCACTACATGGCCTGGCTGCCCGCGGCGAAATTAGGACAGCATACTGTGGTGCATCAATGTCCGCTAAAACTGTGTGTTGTGGTGCGCATGCGAGGTGCCTGGGGCTAAACTCGCAGACTAAAACGCAGAACAGCAGGAGGAACTAGGAATTGGCAGCCAAAACCTTAATGAAATCTTGCAGCATGGAGAGGCGAACGGAGCAAGTCTTGGGCCATGCTATGAGTCCCCGTAATCTATGCCACGGCTTGGGCCCTTTCAAAAGGATAAGGTCTGGCTGGATGCGATCATGGTTGGCCCATGGACGCCATGTGGAACGGATGACGTCTGGGTGGACGTCATCACGGTTTGCTCATGGAAGCGCTGGGGAACAGATGCGGTCTGGGTGGACCTTATCATGCAAGCTTTGGGGACCGGATGTTCATGCTTGGCCAGTGGATGGTTTGGGTCGATGTTTGCATGGTTGGCCCATGGATGCAACTGGTAATTAAGCAGGACACGACCAGGTTTTGTACTCGCCATAAAGTCTTGCAGGTACCTTTATACCACCCTTAACGGAACCCGTAAAGGAACCCTGAAAGGGCTCCTAAACCCAAAACCCTAAACCCTTAAAGAAATGAGCCGAAGCTGTAGTGATCTAGCTGTAGTGAACTGGCGAACCGAGAGACCTCGTCTGGCGGAGTCCGAGTTGCGAGAGCGCAAACCC